ATCCATGTAAATAATTCTATGCTAAATTAAGATGAATAATTTGATTGCGGAAATTGGTTGAATCTTAAAGTTCAATTTTGTTCTTTAGATTATATAAATCAGTAGAAAGGTTATCCAACGATCAACTAATTGTTCTCGTGATAATTGAGGTGAATAATTATATTTCTAAATTTTAATCTTTTTTATTTGAAAATGTATTTTGATTACTTGTATGCTACAGTTCAGTGAGATTTATATTACAATAGATTCTTCATATTGGTAGATATGAAATATATGCTTAAAAGATATCTGTGTGAGATATGATATGTATTATAGATTTGATGTATTAGATAGAAATAGTAGGATTGATACACATGATAATCACAATAAAAAATGATATGCATGACATGGGTAAGAGATATGCATGAGATATATATATGAATGCTATGGAGATGCAACAGAGTAAGAGTAAGTATGCATGTTTGTAGATTAAATAAAAATGCTCAGAATAATGTATGTATGAAGAATGAAATAACTTATATATGAATGCTTATATATGCATGGTCAGAGAAGTTCAACCCCTAACGGTACAGGCAGAGGATGCCAGTGTACTTGCACTCGTAGAGTTTATCTACCACCCCATACGATTGTGATAGTTAGTTCATTAATCGTTGTGCCGACGGGTTAATATCGGTCAGGGGCGAGTAGACCGAAGCTTACCTCCCTAAACAATTGTAATGTTTACATTACTAACCGCTGTGCCGACAAAGTAATATTGGCCTGGGTTAGGTGAGGGTTTTTCCACTTTAGACAATTGTGATATGTAGATTGCCAACCGTTGTGTCGTTGAGACAATATCTACCAAGGGTGTGTTAGATTTGTTGACGGTTATCCTCACAAAGACAAATGTGTATGTAAAGTATAAAGTGAAATTAAAGTTAAAGTATATGTATGTTTATAGAAGATTGAATATTTTTCTTTAGAAAAAGTCATTGATAGATGCATTAACATATATCAGATTGGTCATAAAAATATGAAAAATTAATATATTATAAGATTTGTTATAGAACTGCATGCATACTGAATTCTTTTCTTTAGATTACTGTAGTTTAGAAGTGTAATTACTTCTAAGTTATCTTTAGATAACTCACTATGTTGCTTTAATTTTATTTTTAAGTTTTAAACATTTGAACATGATGAATAGAAGAGGAAAAAATGTGTATAGAAGACGAGAACAACAAACGGAATGTACAAATTTCTACTTGTTAATTTTAATTGCTTTCTTTGGTGGCCCTTTCGTATATTATTTGAATATTAAATTGTTAGCAATTGCCAATTATAGGCTTAGAATAACAGAGAATTGATTTCCATCATTCGACCGTCCATTCTCATCTTGGTTGGGCGAGCAAGCATAGGGAGGTGAGTTGGGCGAGCAAGCATAGAGAGATTGCAAGAGGGAGCTCAAACGAGTGAGAGAGATACCCGAATCGAGCGTAGGGCAAGGGTAGGTGAGCGCCATACAGGCTTGAGTGTCGCGAGCTGTGTGAGGGATGATAATGGAGGAAGAGACCAGGTGAAGCATGTGTGAGGGCAAGTGACTAGGATTCAAACGTAAGCGATGGATTTGCCTGTGGACTTGATGGCTAGAGCTTTATATTCTTATCCTCCCTTCAAGATCTAGGTAAGTTTTATTTATGTTTTCTTTGGTAATTATATAAACCCTTATATCCTAATATAAATTTTATTAGGATTTTGTGAAGGATTTAAAAATTAATGAAGATAGTTTAATGTGTGTAGATGTGGATGAGTAAGTCAAAAAATGAGGAGGAAAGGAGAAGCAATAAACAAGCACTCAAGTTTCTAATAAGTTTTGACGATGAGTTTTAAGTGAAGCATTTATGCAATAAATTAGGGAAGCATTTTCTTTCTTTCTTTTTAATTTTGAAATACAATAAAGTTAACATGTTGTTTTATTTTAGTATACTAGATTTTTAATTTGTATTAAAAGATTCATTTTATTAAAACATTTTTTATAATTTTTGAATAAAATTAAAAGATAATAATCTAATTATAATTATTTTTATTTTTAATTTAAATATAACATTACATTATACGTAAACTTGAAATTAAAAAATAGGGATTTATTGATGATATTAAATTAGTTTGCAGTATTTCTGTAAATAAAAATAGAAAGTAATTGAATAAGATTTACATATTCGACTGAATGAAAAAACTAAGTAAATAATCAGGACAATTAGTAATAAAGGTACATATAATATATAGAATTGTAATGACTATAACTATGGCATGAAAGTGACAACAGAAATAAAGTAAATAGGATTTATATTAAATACCAAGGACAGAGTAAAGGAAATTTAATGCAAGTTATGTATTTTTGATAAATTTTGTACGATTAATATTCTAATAAAAATAATATGCTAATTCTATTTGAAATATTAGAATTGTTAATAATTGTTAATTGAATAATTTCATTAAAATCTATTAACATGAATATTTTAATTGTTATTATAGGCTTAAAATTAAAGGAAATAAATGCTAAGGTGCAAGAAGACAAAAACAAGTTATATATTGAGGTGGATACTCATTTTGTAGCTATAACAATATTTTTAGTCCTAAATATAGTGAATTAGATAATATTGTTATTCATTTAGATATATTAATATTGTAATTTTAATATTTATTTATCTGTTTTTTTTTAATATTGAAATAAATATCGCATATATCTCTTAATATGTTTGATTTTGTATCATATACACTAGCTGTTATAAAAATTATATTATATGATATGAAAATGTGAATGAAATGCTATTGATGAATTTTACCCTCTTATTATACTAGTTGGAGACATTAAATTATTGCGCACATAAAATAAAAAAAATAGTGATATTGAAGTATCTTAAATAATTCACTTTACATGGTGTTTTTGTGATGGATGTAATATGTAAAATGATATTGAGAAGAAATGATATTGTTATTACTTTAAAATAAAACATTTTAAAATCTTCTACTTATTTATTTTTAAATAAATAATTTACTAAATGATTCTTAAACTGGTAGATTAAATTTAAAAAACATGCATATTGTATTCGTAATTTATAAAGTATTATGTATGTATTGAGTTGTTGATAACTTACAATAATTTTAAATAATATATTAGGGAAATAACATCGTCTTAAAAATGAGTGAAAGAAGAGATTGTTTGTCATATATGTAAGGGTACACATATTATGTTAGTCATATACATGGTGGCAGCGTAGTACACAGAACACTTTAATTTTGATTTAATTGTACTTCTTTTTTTAGTGGATCGTTCTATTTATTGGAAGTTACTAATATAGGAATTAAGTTGAATTGTTATTTTCAGTTAGTTAATGTTAGTAACTGAAATTTGAAATTTTCATTAGACTGTGCTTTTGTTTTGGTAACTTTAAGCTCCCTGGTTGGATTGTGACAAAATCTATGGGCATTCCTTTGGATTTAGACCTAGGCTAGTGTATGTCTTTGGTTTAGGCCCTTAAATGCTTTAAGCATCTATTTTTCTCCTGCCTGGCTAACATTTCTGAGTTCCTATGTTGATCTGTGCCAGCTTATGCCATAAATTCTAGTCTCCACTTTTGGGCTAGCATACTCCATAAGCTCTTGTCCTCAACTATTTAGTTGGGATGAATGTGACCTTTACTGAAGTTGATCCTACTTTAACCCATGCTGAAAGTTTTTCTTTGAAGTAAACCAAATTTAAACTTGAAGCTCCCGCTAACCCAAGTCTCGCTTTTAGAGGCAACCCATTGATACGATATGACATTGTGTAATCATCTTAGGATGAAAGGGTCAAACTTTCTGGATGTGTAGGCTGTCAAATTTTTGGAATAGATTGCAACAATACATGGATGTTTGCATCTATCCATTCTTTTTTGTGTCTTGGGGTGTTCTTCTTTCAAAGTGGGCTCAAATTTGCTCTTGTGGAGAGCTGGATTCACGATTCCCTGCATTAGAGTCATGTTGTGCGCTTCTAAGCCGATCTTAATATGACTCAATTAAACCAAGCCTGTGAACCTTTAGTGATAATATCTGAGTAATTTTGAACCATTGCTATTCATAGTTATACCTTCAAGTCTTCTTGATCCCAGATTTTGAAGTTAGATCATGTTTCATTTTTGTTTTGCCTTATTTGTGTAACTTCCTAAGAGGTCACCCATCCTAAAAGTGCTCTCATGTAAGCATGCTTAACTTTGGAGTTTCTAATGAAATTCCATCGTTACACCAAAATTCACCTCGATATTTAAGAGTTCAACTTCATTCTACTTAAGGGGTTCCACAATCTCCCCCACTTAAGTAGTTGACGTCCTCGTCAGTTCTTTATACCCAAAATTATCCAATAGGCAAACAAGACTCTAGATTTGGCCCCTACAAATTCAAGAGGTGGTTCTCATCATGTTGCACTTTGTCTTATCCAGGGTTCAAGAGGTGGCTCCCATGGCGTATCACTTTGCTCTTTATGACACGTACTTCCCATCTTCCGGTGGTGTTATGCCCGGATACCATTTGCGACAGCCCGAACTCTAACCCATCATGGTGTTATCCGCTTTGGCCTAGTGGTCCACAGTTTTGCCCATTGGTGTAACTTCTCTTGAGGTCACCCATCCTGGTGGCCTCACAGTGTTTAATGAAATTCCACTATTACACCAAAAGACGTCTCATTGTTTAAGAATTCAACTTCATTCTACTTGAGGGGTTTCATATGAAATCCCTTTGATACGTTAAATATTTGATTCATATTTATTTTGTTTTTGTTTTGTATACACTACATGTGATTCATGTCTTGCTTCTGGTTATTGTTCTGACTGTTTGCAAATTTTCGTGCCATTACTTGCAAAACTACTGCTATTAGTTATTATTACATGGTTCAAGTTTTGTTAATAGGTTAGTGTACTATTGTGTATTTGTGCGTAAGTAATTTTTTATCATTATGGTTTCTGCTTTCATTTTGGCTGCTGAATCAGGTTATTCCAGCTCTAGATTCCAATACTCCAGTTTATGCTTCGTCATTCACAATGGAGGTACTACCAATGAAGCTCCACACTACCTATGTGCAATGTACAGAACGTTATGGCTTTTTAATACTTTAATTTTGATTAATAAATGAAAACAAAAACCTTTTATGTTTTCCAACAGCTCATCAAGAAGCGTTTGAAGGAATTTGGAATTTTCATTCCATCCAGGCTTAAGGTTTTTAAATGTAGGGAGAAATTTCTGGCGGGACCATTTGAAGTGGAGCCACTCCGAGTAACTCATTCTATCCCAGATTGCTGTGGTTTAGTCCTCCGGTGCAAAGATGGTACAGTTTTTCATACCGGTGACTGGAAGGTAAAACTACAATATTAGCGGATCATCTATCAATAAAATATCATGTGGATGGGTAATTAGGGAAATCTATCACAGATTGATGAATCTCCTTTGGATGGGAAAGCTTTTGATCGTGAATCATTGGAGGAGCTTTCTAAAGAAGGAGTGACTTTAGTAAGTTTTAGCAATGTTGCATTCTTTACAGTTTTGCTTTTCTTTTCGATGTTAGAAAACTTCTTATGAACTCAATGACGCTTTGCTCTTGAATGTTGTTTCTACAGTACATGCATTGTATCTTCTGTTTGTAAAAATGAACTTCTTAATTATTTTTAGCTTGTTAGGGTTGCTAGGCAGTCTGAAGCTTTTGGTTGAAGGAAGGACTCGTTCTATCCAATGTCTGTGTGTTATGATGTGATCTATATGCTACTGTAAAATTCAACTTGTGGCACTGCAGGAAAAAGCTATTTTGCATGTTTTTTTAGTATTTCATTAAGATGCCATTGACCATTGAATTAAGATTGGCTTACAGTTCAACGCCTCATGTGAAACTTGTTAAGATGAACATTTATCAGTAAAGCCATTAATTTGGCTAAGGCCTGATGGTTATGATCACGATGAATGTTAATCCTGGATTTGTTTATGGCATAATCTTTATTTTTAAGCTGTGTTCGGTAAACTAGTATTGAAGGGGTAACCCTTATAGGATCACTTCAAATTACTTACTGATTTGATGGGCCATGAGTAAAAAATTGAGTTTAAATGATGCCCTTTGCCATCCTTCTTTGCTTCTTGACTGATATTTGCCGTTGCCGGTCTTTGAAACAATTTGGTGTTATTTTATTCCCTTGTGACGTGCAAACTTTAATGTTCTTTAACACCCCGAAGAATTTTCTTGTCTTGCCTTCAGAAAAACGAAAAGAAATTAAGATTTATGTCGGTATGCATCCTTATTTATGTTCAGTTGTGCACCAGAAAGTTTTTTATTGCAGGGCATCTCTTCTATAGTTTGATGAAATTGATTAGACATGCCCAGGATTTCATCAATCTCTGTAAGATAGTGTGGAAATGATGATCGAGAAGGTTACATCTTTGTACATGGAGATTATGATACCCAAAAATGGGCAAAGATAAGATTAAAATTGACTTGCAAATTTATATCCAATTTTTACATATTCTTAATATGATCGAGAGGAAATTTATAAAATTTTACATTTTGTATTGGTCAATTATATAACATTTCTTAATATGATCCGGAGGAAATTTATAAAATTTCACATTTTGTATTGGTCAATTATGTATATATGCTTACATCATGCAAATATTTTGTCTACTTGTATCTAGTGGTGTTTGTTATGATATATTTTTCTGATAACTAATGGCCATTTGTAGGCATCTTATTATAATCTGACTGACTGACTTCAATTCCTGTTGCTGCAATATCTTGAAGTTCTTATCAATCTTTCATTTTTATTAAGCTGAATTTTGCACCTTACTTTGTTATGCATTGTATGTTGAGAACCAAGTTAAAAAAATAAACTTCTTATTGTGAACTTTCCAGATGATGAGCGACTCAACTAATGTCCTTTCCCCTGGAAGAACTTTAAGTGAGGCTGTTGTTGCAGAATCGTTGTTAAGGCATATTTCATCTGTTAAAGGAAGAGTTATAACGACCCAGTTTGCATCTAATATTCATCGTATTGGTAGTGTGAAAGCTGCTGCTGATTTAACTGGTAGAAAATTGGTAAGTTTCTTTGCATGATTTGGTCTTGTAATTAGTTTTTTTTTTTACATTGACACATTCAATCACTTTGTGTTCATGCGTGCTACAGGTATTTGTGGGCATGTCCCTGAGGACTTACTTAGATGCTGCTTTCAGAGATGGAAAGGCTCCAATGGATCCTTCAACTTTAGTATGTTATGCATACTGTTATTATACTTTTGTACAAGTTCATAGTAAAAATTAACACAAAATATGAAAACTGTGTAAATTCTAGTTTCATTTTGAGGAAGTCGTTGCATGCATTATATAGAAATCCCTTTTATTCCCCTACTTTTCTTTGGAAATTCATTTGGTGTATGCTTTTCACTGATGATATCCTTCTTGTGGATAAGACTAGAGAAAGAGTTCAGAAAAACTTTAATTATGGAGGTTTGCATTGGAGTCTAAAGGTCTTTGTTTGAGTAGAACTAAAACTAAATAAATGCAATGTTGTCATGACTTGGCTTGATGAGCTTGGAATTACCAAGGCAAGAACTAACGGTCGGACGAAGGAAACCATATCTAACAGTTTTATTTCATCATAGGAGTTAAAATCCAAAACACAAAAGAGCTATTCAAGTTCATAAAACTTATATTTACAATAGATTGTTCATATTTAAACATTTACATTTTTGCATAAAATAAACTAAATTGCAATACTTATTAGCTTGCACTCCACAACATCTGTATCGTACTCCTTGGGGTTAGCAACTTATATTTTGTAAAAATGCGGTAACAGTAAAAGATGTGGATAAAAGAAAACAGTAAAAAATAATTTCATTTTCTTTCATTTATTTAAATTGCACTTTTCATAATTGGGAGTCATCGTCTAAACTTATACTTTATAAAAGTATGTTTAATCTTTTCCAACTCACCATAAAGGTAGACACTTTTTTTCTATTATATTTTCATTATCCTTTCCATTTTGTGCATGAGTACATTGCATTTCCCTGCTATTACCATCAATGGTTGACTCACATATGTATGTATATGTCATATTTTATTCATTTTTATCTTCCATTTAATATTAAAAAAAAAACTTGCATTTAACTTTTAAAAGGGAACTTGGACTTTTGCATTTTAGAAATAAAAGCTGTGAAACCGTCAAATCATGTGTAAATCAATGAAACTATTGTAAAATAAAAACACGTTATCCACCTCAATAGTGTCGTCTGCTATCCTTTTCTCAGGTCAGTCTAGTCCTTAGGTTAAACCTATAATAACAATTTAAATATAGTCAACTTCTTGTTCAATGCTAATCTTCTCTCCTATTGCTTCTAGATTTTTTATCATTATTATTATTATTTCTTTATAGCTATTTATTTATGTATAAAAATATATGTATTTGTATTAGCTAAATCTAAACATATATACATATATACATATATATGTAGGAATATTCAATTTCTTTTTATGTTTAAACTTCTAAAATTTTTTCGTTTTGCATACCTACTTAATATCAACTTATTATATAACTAAATTTTAAATTTAGGATCCTTAATTTTCTTTTTAACATTATTTTAAAAGGAAAGTATTAATTAATTTTCACAAATTTAACTTTGTACTTGAAGTTTTCCTCTCTTTTTTTTGCCTTAACTTTCTCACCATCACCTAAAATTGTAAGAATCAACATTAGGATTTTTCTGAAAATTAATTAATTTTTTTAGGAATTACATTTTATAACTTAATTTAAATCAATTACAATTGATAACTTAAATAAATTTAATATTTTACCTTTTTAAGATTTCTTTCTTCCGTAAGTCATTCGAACCAAACATATGGGCTTCGGTCCAGCACTTCACGCACACGAGATGGATCCCAATGAGCCTTCCTTCCTCTCCAAGCTCTTGATCGAGCTTTCTACAAGCTGCAGGAGCTCTCCTTTATCTTCTGTGGGCCGCACAACAAGTATAATCTTGTCTCCTTCCTCTGCAAGCCGCACGACAGCTAGGACAAGAATGCCTCCCCTTCTTTCTAGGCTTACTCAGGGAAGTCTTCGCACGGCTTAAGGATTGTTGACGGCAAAAGCGAACGGCTTAGGTGAGCCGCTCGAGCACTCCAAGTAGCCAAACGAGCTTCCTCTTCTTCTTCCTCCTTTCCTTTGCTGCTCATGGCGCTCGAACGAGGCACGCTCGAGCTTCTTTCATGCGAGGAATATGTCATAATTAAAGGTAACCTTCTCCTCCCATTTCTTTTTCTTCTCCCTCTACTGTTGCTTCTTCTTCTTCCTTGATTTCTTCTTTCTTCTTATTTTTCTTCCTCTTTCCTCTTGTTCTTCTTCTGGCTTTCTCTCTTCCTCTCTTTGGCTTCCCACCATCCCTCTCTCTCGCTGGGTTCGAATGAAAGGAGACGTGGAAATATCCTTATCTTAACACTCCCATGAGCAGTGTGATCTCGCTCTAACGACACCTGCATAGTAGGTGTCGTTGCCAACAAAGTTAACTTTTTTATTTATTACAAAATAAAATTTTAAGAGTAGCTCTAATGACAAAGTTGTAACTATGGTTGATCAAATCATTAAAAGATGTGAATGTTTTAGATGTCTCGGATCTATTGTTCAAAGTGATGGTGATATAGATCGGGATGTTATTAGTAGAATTCAAGTTGGTTGGTTGAAATGGAGGAATGCTTCAGGCATATTGTGTGATAGAAAAGTTCCGCTTAGAATGAAAGGAAAGTTCTATAAAATGGTGGTGAGACCTGCAATGCTCTATGGCGCATAATGTTGGCCTTTAAATGAGAAGCATAAAACAAAGTTAAGTGTTGTCGAGATAAGAATACTTAGATGGATGAGTGGTTGGACACTTAGAGACAAATTGCGAAATGAATATATCCATGATAGGGTTGGTGTAGCTCCAGTGGGGGACAAAATTAGAGAGAGTCGTCTTAGATGGTTTGGTCACATTAAACTTCGATTATTTGATGATCTGATTAGGAGAGTAGATGTTTTAGATTCGACTTATGTTAAAAAATTCAAAGGTAAACCTAGAAAGACTTTGGCATAATGTATAAAAATGATCTTAATTTATTTTAATTAAATGAAAATTTGACACTCAATAGGACACAATGGAGAAAAAGGATTCTTGTAGCCGATCTCTCTTAGTGGGCTAAAGTCTTGTTGTTGTTGTTGCTGCTGCTGTTTTATAGAAGCAAAATGGTGAGGCATGGTTTGGGAACTAGGACGCGTCCATTTAAGAGGCCTATTAGTATGCCCTCTTGTATGTACATGCACTTAAGCCTATTTGGTTGTCCATACGCTCGAGGAAATGACAAGTACTACTTCTCAAATTACTAGTTGAGGAAATCATTTCTAAAAAAGTTGTTTTATTCGAACAGCTAAACAAAGCTTCCTATTTTCTGTTATCTGGTTGGATAGGAGAAGTACCGAATAAATCCAATAAATTTAATATATTTATAGACATGCCTGTTTAAAGCCACATTTACATAACAACTATGTAATAATATTTTAAGATAAATTATACATTATTAATAATTTATATATATTTTTATATTTTTTATTGTACATATTATATTATTGTAAATTAATAATAGACCATCCGATATGATATATATTGCAAATTTGCAAATTTCAATGTCTGTTATTTGGCTTAATTAATGGATTATGGATTGATTAGTGTCATTGTGTATATAATAATACATATACAATATATTTTATAGTAAACTAATTTGTATTTGAGTATGAACATGTGTATTTGTACGTGTGCAAGCATCACTAAAATTTTAAAAGTATAAAAATGTTATGAACAACGTTTTTGGGAATTGTGAATGTGAAAAGCCCAAAGTCAAAAAGCTAAGAATTTAACCAGCCACTTCCAAAGGGGAAAGTCGCTTCCCTTTCTCGCAAACCAAAAGACAGCTGCTGAAGCCTTTTTCTTCCCATTTTTATTTCACACTTTTAACATTAAAAAAAAAGCCCTTGGTACTCTCATAAAATTTTAAGCGGGCCAAGGTACACGTTGTTTTGTATCATTTATCTTGCAAATCTTTTTATTATATTTTATTTATTCTATCTATTTCTAAAACTGTTATGTAGATAAGTAAACTGCGTGTACTGATTTGTAGGTGAAAGTGGAGGACATCGATGCCTATCCACCTAATGGTTTATTAATTGTTACAACTGGCTCTCAGGTAAGATGATATTCTTAATTTCATAGCCAGAAAATTTGAGATTCTGCAGTCTTTATCTGCAATGGTATAGGTAGAGTTTCACCGTGCACAATATTGTGTCAGGCAGAGCCGCGAGCTGCTCTAAATCTAGCATCCTTTGGAGGTAGTCATTCTCTTAAACTGACTAAGGAGGATGTAATTTTATATTCAGCTAAGGTAGCCTTCAAATATCTTCTTCAGTTTTTTTTTTTTTCTTCATATAATGATTTGTCAATATTTTGTGCCTTTATTTTCATAATTACACTTACATGCTGTAAGGAGACTATGGAACCTACCTGAGGGGCTGTTGTGCTGTAATTACTGTTGCGCAAATAAACTTTTAGTATGCAAATGCGTTAGGATTGTACCATAAAAATTGTTTGGCAGCTAGATATATGGGTAATTTGTATTAATCTGTAAAAATTGGATGGCATGGATTTAAAATCAATTTTATTTTTGTCACCAGTTAACAATTAAACGTCCAATCTACACCGACTGGCTGGAAGCAATGACTAAATACTAGTTGGGAATAACAATCTAAAAACACATCAACAACAGTTGGATGATTGCAACTTGTCATTAGAAAATTAGAAGTTCAGTTGGTTGTTCACAAACAAACATCTGATACATGAAAGAAAATAGGGGAGCTGATATTCGTGGTCTCTTTTGTTTCCATTAGTTTTTAGTATATTAAAATCATGGGGATACGCAGCTGCAATGACTACATGAAAGGTTTGAAGAATAGTATGAATGAGAAGGAAATCATCACAAGAGGAGATCATGTTTTCTATTTCATTTTTTTTATAATACAATCAACAAGAATATTATCTAATTGTATCATTTAAAGCACGACAATATTAATATCATTTTTCCAACTTGCGAACGTACAATCATTTTATGCGCTAGTATTTTAACATTATCAATGATTATGTAAGTAGATGAATTTCCTTAATCAACATGTAAATGTATGCACTTCTATATAATTCATTTTACTTGCATTCACTTTACTGCTCAATATCCTATCTAATAAAATGTAAGCAGGGCTTAAAACCTGTGGTATTCATTTCAGTATGATCAATATTTTCAAAATTAGAGATAAATCATAAGTAATTTATAATAAAGTTTGATTGGTATAAGAAAATGTATGTACCATCCTCAGTTTTAAATGATTTGTTTTGTCAAATAGTCTTCAGTTTTACTTCCTTCCGCCTAAATCATTGGATACATTTAAGATTTTCACATTCAATTTTATAAAAGTATATCATATATTTATTATTTTTCTCTCTTACTATTGAAAAATATTTATTATTATGATGTGGAGGGTGGACCGGCTGGCTGATTCGATGGGCAGGAACTACTGCTCTATGTCTCTCCCCTCCTATTCTCTCTAGCATTATATTTACGCTTCTTGTGTGTTTTAGGGTTTAGTTTTTGCTGATTTCTGATTTTTGCCTCCAAGTGTCTCCCTTGTTACGACTTATATCCTCGGATAGGTGGTGCTTCGGTTGTTTGCCGCTTCGAGGTGGTGATTATCTCAATGATTCCTCACTGTATTCCTTTTCCCTGGCCCGTTGACCTTCAGCCGACAACCCTCCAACGCCCTTCTAGCTGCTTAGGCCTTGCCGCTAACTCCTCTAACCAAACCTTGTTGTAATCCCTCCCAGACCTTCCACCCTTGTCGCAAACCCCTCTGACCCCTTCCAGACCTTGGTGTAATCCCTCACTGACCTTCCACCCTTGTCGTAAACCTCGCTTACCCTTTCCAGACCTTGTTGTAATCCCTCCCATACCTTTCACTTTTGCCGCAACCTTCTCCACCTCTTCCAACCGCTACAGCCACCCGTCCCAACCCCTCCAACATGCAGCCGTAACCCCTCCACCATGCCCTGTTGTAATCGACACCCCTCAAACTCCTTCCACTGTTATCGCATCCCCTAACTGATCATCTAACCTGTTGTCCAACTGGTGTTCACTCATGTTGCTCTCACTCTAGGCAACTGTTGTCTGTTTAATGGTCTTTCGTTCAGTTTCAAGGACATTTGTTGTGATTCCTTCCAATTTTTTTGCAATAATATTCATGATATGTTCTTTTTAGATTATTTTCGGTATCATTTGGTATCAGAGTTAGTCTAACCTTAGCTTGCTCTAAGGTTTTCGGTTTCTAGCATCTGCCCTTCCCCCCCCCCCCAAACCCCAAAATTTTTTTTCCAATTCTTAGCCACCCATTCCAAACCCAAACTCTTATCATGTTGTCATGAAAATACATGTGGGAAACTATCTGTGACGAGATACAGCGGGAGATCCATTGGCTTCAACAGATGGCTCGTGAAGATTGATGTTGGAACTCAGGGGGAGATTACCGTCGATTGTAATTTGGAGAGTTGAAGGGGGGATAGTGTTACGACCCAACCCAGGGCTTGGAATTAATCAAGAAAGGGAAGCACGGTCGGATGATGGAAATAAATTTTCTGTTATTTTGTTACCATCACAAGTAGTTTAATATGTAAATAACATGTGAAAGAGCTACTAAAGAAAAGAATTAAAATTAACAAGTAAAAATGTATACATTTTTGTTTATTGTTCTCGCTATTATACGCATTTGCTCCTCTTCAATTCATCTTGTTCAAAGCTTAAAACTTAAAAATAAAATTAAAGCAACATAATGAGTTATCTAAAGATAACCCAGGAGCAATCACACTTCTAAAATGCAATAATCCAATGAAAAAAATACAATATGCATGTTGATCTTTCATATCTCTATAAGAAATTTTTTAATATGCTAAACTTTCAAAATTTTATAAGAAATCTTATATATGTTAATGCATATATCAATGACTTTTTTCTAAATGAACATACGTTAATTTTCTATATGCAGATATATTAACTTTACTTTTAATTTATACTCTTTACATACATTTCTGTCTCTGTGAGATCATCGTCAACAAAAACTTATACTCTTGGTCGATATTGTCTCTTCGACTCTCATTGGCACAGCGGTTAGCGATCTACACATCGCAATTGTTTAGGGTTAAAAGACCGCTTCTAATCGATATTATCACATCGGCACAACGGTTGGCAATGTAAATATCATAATTGTCTTAGAAGATAAGTTCTAGTATACTCGTCTTTATCTTCTATTATCACATCAGCACAACAGTTAGTTATTTAACTATCACAATTTTCTGGGGTGGTAGAAAAACTCTAAGCACGTGGGTTCATTGGCGTTCCCTGTTTGTACTATTATGGGGTGCCTCTGAACATGTACATATAATCATTCATATATAAGCTATTTTATTCTTTATAACATACATTATTCTTATAACATAAATTATGTTAAGATAATTTTATGTATCTACTAACTTGCATATTTACTCTGTTATGTAACTATTTATCATACATAACTCTCATATCATACATATTCTTACTTATATCATGCATGTCATTTCTAATCATGCTTATCATGCGTATCTATTCTATCATGCATATCTTGCAGATCATGATACATGTCTTGCATCTCATACATATCTTTCATGCATATTTTGTATATCATTTTTTTCATGCATATCTTTTCTAATCTACCAATGTAAAAAATCTAACTAAACTAGATCATACATAGAATCAAACATACAATCTGAAATAAAGAAAATTATTGAAATTTAGAAGTATAATTACTTCGGTTACCATGCTAAAATCTTAATGTTCGATAAATAGCTGTAGGTTGCGGTGACTTTTATGTTGATCTTAATAGCCTAAAAAATAATGTTAAGCTTTAAGATTCAAGTGATTTCTGTTAAATTGAATTATTATTCTTAAAATAGCATAGGATTATGTTATGGATTATGTTACCTAAAATTTACGGTGTCATCCTACGACGATCTTCTACAAGCTTGCCTTGTACTTATTATCTTTTGCAAACAACCTAAAATCTGTAAATATCTTAGGATTTTATAAATTTTCGGCTCAAAAAGTAATTTAACCCAAAATTGTAACATTCTTACCTCAAATAGGCTTCCCGACAAAATTCTGTCTTCCTGAAGTTGCTAAATTTCTTCTATTTTCTTTCTAAAACTTATAATTTCCTTTCCTCTTTTGATGATTTAGTGCTAAAATTCTTATGGAAACTCACAAGACACTTAGGACACTTCCGACACAAGTTCAGCTCCTCCAACAACTACCAGAAACGAATAATGCACGAAAAATTAGTTAAATCACAAAATGGAAGTAAGAGAAGGAAATGAAAGTATCAAGTATCGTTAAAATCAGTTTCATACCTTATGATTATACCATCAGAGTGAAAATTATGAGTTGCGATTCCCCAGCATGTCGGCTGCTGCAGTGGCCTGAGCAGAAGCCTTATTTAGAAGCCCATTATTAGCATGATTGTGTAGTTGTAGCCACACCGGTTACTAGGGGATGTCCAAATCTTAGCCTTGAAGGTGGAAATACATCGGAAATAGAGCAGGCAACAATCCTTATTTAGGCAGTAGTCCTCAATCAGGCAGCCACCTACAACTAATTCTACAGCGACCCACAAGGGTACCTCTGAAGGAGTTGGTAGGACAACATAGGGGGTGATAAGACAGATTTGAGTGGAAAGAAGTCAAAAAATGTAGTTTGCCTAGTACAATGCCTGTCAGGAAGTGTTTCAGATGCCACAACTACGGACACAACCTTAGTTGTGCCACGAGCTGAGTTGTTTCATTCATATATTAAGGCATCGTCGAGAAGGCGAAGGATGAGGAATCAAAGGATAGTCCATAGGAAGAACTTCAGCGCAAGGTGAAGAGGGAGAAATGTTAGTCATACGAAGAGTTCTGAAGTTAGAGAAGGAGAGAGATCAGTCATGGTAGCGGTACAATATCTTCTGCACTAAGGGTCCGTTTGGGGCAGCTTTGCGTTTCAGGATAAGCAGCTTTGATGTTTAAACGCGGCCCGCGGGCCGACTGCAGGGGTCGACCCGCAGCCTGCGTTTAGTGTAAAAACCCAAACACAGTTTCGGATAAGCTGGTGAAACGCGCGAACCAAACAGCATGGTGGCGTTTTGAAAACGCCGCCCGCACTTATAAGCTGCCCCAAACGGACAGTGTATTGTGAAGGGAAAAGTTTGTAGTTTAATTATCGACGATCTGCGTCAATGGTGAAGAAATTGAGTTTGTCCACACAAACTTTCTCAATCA